GCGGTTGCTGGTTTGGTTCGGGCCCGACAGTCAGGCTTGGGGCAGGTTCGGGACTATTATGACATGGCTGCACGGTCCGGCGTTGACATGGTACAACGGTCTGGTATTAGTTTTCAGGTTCGGGACAGACTCGACGCCGGTATGGTGCAGACTATTCAGGTTCGGTATTGCTATGGTAATGGTTTGATACTCCCGAGGGGCCGCGGCATTGCACRGTATTTTACATGTTACGGGGTCAAGACTGACTTGGCGTCCGTGTGCTACACTCCACTACAACGTTTTAGGCTCCGTATTGGTTCGGCAACGGTATGGTACACGCCACTGCATTATTTTCAGATATTGTTTCAGCAACGGTACTACAGGTTCAGTATTGGACCATCCTCGACACGGTGCAAATTATAGTGGCCCTCGATGTTTACTACGAGTTCGTCATCAGTACGGGTGCAGGTTGGTGCGGTGTGCCACTCCGCTATTTTTGGTTGAGGCCTTAGGACCGGTGGTATGAGTTCCCGGTGCTGCCGCAGGTATTGCTGGGTATCCCTGGACAGTGTCCGTACCCTCGCTGTTGTGGACCTGTGGACCCGGGTTTCCAGTAACCCATGACCAGCGACTGCAGTCCGGTTATAGCTGGGGTGTTGGGCCAGGTACTAGAGGTACAAAGAGTGTTAACCCTCAGCAATGAACGGGTACCGCTGAGGGCCAGGATTGAGCTCATGGGAGCTGGGGCCGAGACAGGATATAGGTCAGACCACGGGAAAGCCGAGGGAGACAGGCGGAACAGTATCCAGAGGTGAGCAAGGTGTACCCGGTGTGATGCGAGAGTTGACGGACGTGTGTAACCACACGAGCGACCGCAAGGAAGGGGAGTTCAGCAGGGCGAGCAAGGTGTGGAGGGGCTCATGTGAACCAGCGGGAGAGATGTGCAAGGTGTTCCCTGCCCACACGCAGTTGTAGGTGCGGCATGTCGGGAGGTGGTTTCAGGTGAGGAGGAAGGACAGACGGGGCTTTTTCGGGCCATGTGCCAGGCGTTCGCGGACCGAGCGGGTGAAAGGTGGTAGCTGAGACATTCGGGAGGGTGGCCAGACAAGAGTGCCTGGAGTACACCGCCCGCAGAAATGTGCCAGGCAGGGTTGAAGTCCGAACTGGAGCRTGAGAGGGGAGGCTGTACCCGATGAGCGYTGTYTCTRAACCCAGGTGTGCAGTTGTTGATACAGCGAGACAACCTCGAATGGTGGATGATGCAAACACAAAATKRTCCGAAACAGATGATCAGAACGAGAGCGGGAAGAGAACAAGAAAGGGTGAGAGAAACTACATGAGGATATGTGCGCTGAATGRGAGTGGGAGAGAGAGATTGCGTAGATGAGAGAGAGAGTGCTCTAGGAGAGAGGGTGTGCTCTGACTGTAAGAGAGAGCGTGTTTGTTGAGGGAGAGAGTGCTYTGGGAGAGAGTGAGTGCGATGTGTGTGTGTGGGAAGGAGCAAGTATCCTTGCTGAAAGTGGGAACARCCAGTCCCACTGATCTAGCAATCGAGTATTCCAAGTACCCCCGCTGACAGCAGGGACAGTCAGCCTCACTGTTTCAGTAATCGACCATTCCAAGTATCCCGCTGCTGAGGGGGGGGGGTGACAGGGTACGTCAATCAAGCAATTGAGCATTACTTGTGTTCCCGCTGTTGGCGGGAGCGGACACTTTCGCAGATCAGACAATCAAGCATTTCACCTTCCCGCTGTCGGCAAGCATTTTTCATCCCCGCTATTGGCGGGTAATCAAGCATTTAATTTTCCCGCTGTTGACGGGCAATCAAGCATATCTCATCCCCGCTGTTGGC